TTCTCCTCTGCAAGTGTGGACAGAGTTATGATCATGGAGGAGGATACTTGGTTGTGCTTCTCTTCCTCTCCGTTCCCCTGACCCATGTTTCAGAGAGCTCTCAGGTGACCTCTCTCCTGAAGCTGAAACGGTGACTTTTGAAGAGTTGTCAAAAAGGGAGAAAGGAGGGTGGGAAGGTAGGTGAAGAAGAGAGCAAGGAAGAGAGGCCTGGATCTGTTGCTGTGTCTGCCCCTTCCCAGTAAGCAAGCTAGGCAAGCAGAGAGGCTTGCCTGGATAATGATGGTGATAATAATAATAATAATAATAATAATAATAATAATAATAATAATGGGTAATGGAACGGCTATACAAATGTCCATTCTTCTGCTGCATTGCCTGGCTGTTTTGGGGTTGGAGGTCCTTGCCTATTTTGTAGCACTCCCCTAAGATCACATTTTAAATAAGGTAGCCATTTTAATAGCCTGCAAATTATTTAAATTCATAGCCATAGTGATAATCAGTAATGAGCAGGTTTCACCTGAATTGTGTACAAAATTGCAAAAAAGATGGAATACTTAAAGACACAGGAGTCTATTACTTTTGTCCAAGTAGGTCAGAGGATCAGTTTAATTAGAAAAGATACAGAATGTATTGAAATAATTTTGGGGAGCTTCACCGAAAAATGCAGCCCAAACAATGAAAACAGTGTGTATGGAGCAGTGAGGGGGAATGTTCCTTTAGATTTCACATATGGATAAAATTTTTCAGAGGCTGAGGTTTGGTCTGCCTTCTAAACATATTATAAACCAACATTTTTTTCTCATTTAACTCACTGACACTGATCAGTGGCTGATCGTATCTCAATGGGTGTAACATGATGGGTGCAAAACAAGTAGGTTACACAAACCTGATGGCTCACTCATGTTCAGTGTAGCATGATAACTATACAGATCGCATGGGATAGAAAAACGGGCTGGAGCAGGCAAGAAAGAGTGTCCCATTTCTGCTTTTCTTACAACTATGTAATAAAGGCTCGCCTGTGTTTCTGTGAGCTTCTGGATGGTGATAAAAAGCATCGCTTTGTTTGGAACCCAGGGATTCCCCCTCATTTAATGTTTCTTTTTCATTTAGCGGCTGCCTTGACTGCTGTGTCAACAGATCTCCCTCTCTGTCTTTTTTTGAAAGGAGGTCTAAGCAAAACAATGCGAGTGGCTTGGCAGACAGGATGGGGGTCGGGGGGTGCTCTGCAGCACTGAGCGCACCACCGCACATGTTTGAAGGAGCAAACCTAGCCCGAGCGGCATATTATCGGGCAGTCCTTCTTGGCACTGTCCTCCTCGAAATGCTTTTCTTTAATGGCATCCCGGGGTTCTGAGATATTTGGTTGGAAAACAAAGTCTCTTTACACAGCATTTATAATCCTTTGGAAATTCTTCTAAAACCAACAAAATAGTTTGGCTGGAACAAAGTTAAACTGCTAAAAATCTAAGAGAAATGTGTGGCAAGCAATGGAGGAGGAAAGCTAAACAGGCAGGCTGCAACCTTCTGCACCAGGTGTCCAGGACTTCAGGTCCACCACGGGTCCTAATCCAGCCCTTAGGAATTGCCCAGGCGTCCCCACTCCCTTCCTCTTCTGCCCCTTCCCCCAATCACCCATCAGTGAGTGGCTACCTGCTGGTTCTGTATTTCCCTCCTTATTCTCAAAAGTTGGCATGACTTGCCCGGGAAGAGCATCCAGGTACAACATGCTGCTATTTTTGCCCCCGCACCACCCACCCTCCCATCCTGCCAAGAGCTGCTCTGAAATGGAATCTGGCCCTCTGCTGAACACCTTTATGCACGGGGCCGGCCCCATGAGGCAGGGCGACTCCTTTGCTCAGACACTGAATGGGAAGGGGTGGCAGATTGGGCCCACCCCCCTAGTGGAAGGCCCCTGCAGGCACTACTGCTGCTACTGCATTGGTCCCACTTCCCACTGGGGAACTGCCACCATGGGAGAGCTGCAAGGAAGTGGGGCACCTGGGAGGAGAAGCTGCCCCTGCAATTTCTCTCTGAGCCCTGTCCCAGCATGAGAGCTCCAGAGAAGCTGCTGGCTTGCTTGCTTGCTTTGGAAGAGGGCTCAGAGACTGAGACTGAGAGCAAGAACGAGAAAAAAGACTCTCCCAAAGCTAGAGATCAGATGGTCAAGGCAGGCCTTCTCACCCTGGAACCGTGTGCCCAATGAGGATTTGGGCAGGTAGCTTCTCAGGACAGTGTCCCTGCCTGAGCTCTTGCTTCGGGATGGCGGCACACAGTGGCGGTGTATGTTTGTTTGTTTATTATTTATTTATATTGCGATTTATATCCTGCCTTTTCCCTACAAAGGGCTCAAGGCAGTTTGCATCATTCTCCTCCTCCATCTTATCCCCACAGCAACAACCCTGTGAGGTAGGTTGGGCTGAGAGTCTGTGAGTGGCCCAAAGTCACCCAGTTGGCTCCATGGCCGAGCGGGGACTCGAACCCAGATCGCCTGAGTCCCAGTCCCACGCTCTTAAGCACTGCACCACACTGGCTCTCCTCAGAGGGCACTACATGTTGTCCTCCTCAGGCCATGGGATATCCTGCACTGGCACTGCTGACACGCTTATGTCTGAATGCTCTTGCAGAGGATTCTGCTATAACTCTTCAGCAAGCTTTGCACCTTTTCTTTTCACCCGCCACTGTAGTGCAGCAATCCGAAACTGTCTCAGTCTCAAGATACATGCATTGAAAGAATGCTAGGTAACAACAATAAAAACATGGCAGTCTGGGCTCAGCCACCTTAACACAATTTCCAAGTGGTTAATTACCGGCACACATACAATCAATGAACTTGTATACTCCATTCCCCCATGGCCACCATGCTTCAGCCAGATGCATCAGGTGTCCCTTGTACTCACGCATGTCCAGTCAGCCAGTGGTGGGAGAAGACAGAGGCACTGGGAGCACCATTCTTGATCTGAGGCTCCCCCATGGCCTCCCCACAGGTCTGCTGGGCTTCCAGAGTTCTGCCAACGTTCCTTCCATGAACTGAAAGCTGATCCAGCAAGGCAGTGTCTATAATTCTTTTTTCCATTCTCAATAGAAAGTCCTGTGTGTTCTTAATTGGCAGATTCAAGTCACCCTGCGTAGCTGCTACATTTATAAACAGAGCACGGGGACCCCAAAACCCGCACATCTCACCTGCGTTTCCAGCGGCAGCTGCCCAGGAGAAGCAGGTGGTGGTGAAGAACACCAAGGGCCACCTCTGCTCCAGGACTGAGTCACCAGAGAGCTCATCCAGCAGGAGAAGAACCCTCCTGCCTTTGACAACACGTGGCCACGCGCAAGCTCCCCCCTTTGGCATTACTTCTACATCACAAAGGACTTTTGTAATCTAAGCTTGACTCCACAATCAAGGACTGTGATGGTGCTGGAATGAGAGGGAACTCCATGATTCTGCCCAAGCCATGGCCTGCTGATTTAGTGTCTACAAGTGAAGTTCAACTGAACCTCAGGCTACATCTTATTCAACAAAAGCTCATAATCTGTATTTAATGGATGCCACAACCTCCTGATAAAAAGGTTTTGACTAAGTTAATTAACCACTGGAAGTGCAGTACTGATAATGCTCTTCTCATCATATGTCTTGGCAATGTTCCGTAGTTGTCTTCTTTTGGGTGGAAATTACAATACAAATAGATTTTGTACTGGAATATTCGTTAGTATTTTCTGATGTACCTGTACTTTTAAATTAAATTAAATATAGTCAATACAAATGAACACTGCACCCTTTGGACAGCTTAAAGACTTTCCAGTCCTGTGATCCCAGGAAGATAAAAACTCACTTCCTATAATACAATGACACTGATACTTTCAATACTTGAGTGAATAACATACAGACAGACACCTACATGGACACTTGGTTTGCCTGTGCTGAAGCTCATGTACAATCGATATAATTGATATTTACATTGAAGCAATTGTTACTTTCATTTTTAAAGTTCGGGCGTTTATTAATTAATTATATGTATCTCTTTCCTTTTCTCCTTCCAAGGAACTCAAAGAGGTTCACATAGTTCTCCTCCTCTGAATCTTGTTCTTAAATCAACAACCTTGTGAAGTAGCTTGGGCTGCGTTTGTGAGTGGCCCGAAGTCACCCCACTGGTTCCATGACTGAAGTGGGGCTAGAACCTGGATCACCTGCGTTCTTTTATTAAGGTGAAATTCACAATTTAAAAATGAGTCAAGAAAGATTTTTGTCTGGAGTTTATGTGTGGGGATCAGCATGTGGGCAGGGAGGGGTCATGCTAAATAGCTCCACCCTGATGATTCAAGGTCTGCTTTTACCCTCCCCAAGATCCATGTGATGTACTTGAAAATGTAGAACTCTGTGTGATCAGGAATACTGCACTATTGAGCTTTCCTTCTCAGACATCCATACTCAGCAGAGCAGTGCGGGACCACTGTTTTCTCCTTCCATCACACTTCCACTTTCTATTTCCCACCCTCATCTTCGCCTCCCTCTGGGGATCTCGTTCTTTCACACAGGTTTTGCTTGCTTTTAAGGCCGAAGGACAAACCAGAGCCAAAGGTGGCAACTTAACCAGCCAAGAAGGCCACATATGTGCAATGGGTTTATGAATTTTCGGCAACCGAATTTTTGCATCCTTCGCCCGGAGGAATGTTGTCCATGGGGTCGCGATGGGTCGGACGCGACTTCTCAACTAACAACAACAACAGTGCATCCTTCTCCTCGGGATGTTAATTTTCCCCACTGAGCAGCGGGGTCTCAAGTTCGCACGCCGTCGAGGGACGCTTCCCCGCTTCCAAGGAGCGCTTCCTCCTCCGCTTCCTTCCATTCGTGCTCGTGCGCGGCTGGAGATGTTGAAAGGAGCCTGCGCGAGCCCCCGAAGGGAAACCGAAGGGCGCAGGCAGTGCGCGTCTTGGCCAGCAGGGGGAGAAGCACGCCAAGGGAGCGCTCGCTTCGCACGGGTTGATCCCTCCGCGGCGACCCGTGTGTTCCTGCTTTTCCTTCGAGGATGCGTTTCTCTTCCCGGTTAAAGTCCTCAGTCCCGTTTCGCGGCCAGTTAGCGATGACGTTCAAAATTCGAGGTACGCCATGAAAGGGAGGGAGAGCGTGAGGGAGGATTTCGAAATAATTTCTGCCTAGCCGCACGGTTTCTCTCTCCGGAAATCCCTTCAAAATGCAGGCGAATTTCCTGCGATGTTAATAGAAGAGGTTCAAAGTTAAAGCTAACTAACCAGCAAGCAAAAATCCTGAAGTGATCTGTAATCTCTCCCCCTCCCGCAAACTCAGTGTGTGTAACTTTATTCAGGTTGTTTTATGATGTGAGAAGGGCATTTCTGTACATGCTCAGAGGAAAGTACCAGAATTAAGCTGCATTGGAATCCATGCCAGAGGGCCTGCCTTTAAACTTACTCCCAATGGCAATCCTATGCAGAAGCACATCCCATCGAGTTCCTTGGTGCTAGCTTATGTGTGGAACTTCTCTTGTATGGGTCATACTTGTCATCTCTTCCTACCCTGCAAGAGTCCCACAACCCCCTGAAGCAGATTTTGGGGGACATGGGGTGGGGTGGTGCTGCAAAGGAAAGGACTTTTTTCCCCACCAGTGGTTCCCTTCCCCTGGCAGAGCGACCCTTCGGTTTTGCTTTTAAGTTTTTTGACTGAGGCAGGATAAATATCTTTCAGTATAAAGGCATGTGCTTGCAATAGTTTCATTGTGTGTATGTGTTTGTATAATGTTTGTGGTCTTTGTGCAGGAAAAAAATGTGCTCCTTCATATTTAGGAAAAGATGTAAATGCTCATCAGGGCTGCCATCTCTTGGAACGGGGGGAGGTGGCTTGGGGGGGATTGGGAGTGGCCCCCCTGTGTGCTTTCACAGAAAGAAGCACAAGCGGCTCACCTTTAGGGAACGTGGCGCAAAACCGCTGCCCTTCCTGGAACATGGCGATTGAGGCCTGGCCTCCGAGTGGGTGCCCTGCATTCCCATCCTCCAGTCTAGGACAGCCAAACCCTTGAAAGCTGCATCCGATGGTCAGTGTGCTAGACTCAAGCATGTGTTTGTTTATTATCCACCCCATTTATCCCTATGCACAAGTGTCTTGATCTTTTGCAGAAGTGATGGGCCTACATCCTACTCTCTGATTACTGATTTTGCATTAACATGTGCTCTCTTTACTTATCTCTTGTTTTGGAGTGGGGGCGATTTTGTGCTTCAGACTTTGGAAAAAGGAGAGATGTTTGTGGGCCTTTGCGGGTGTGGAAAATTCTCCCTATCCAGATTGACAATAGGCTCTTTCTCGTTGTTTATTCCTTGAAACATGTTCTTCTTTTCTCTGTGGTTCCCACAGTTCTTCTCCCTGGATGCCATTCAAGGAACAAATTAGGAGAACTATGAGTCTGATCTCTAAAGTGTCTCTCAAAGAGACACTGAGGATTATACACAAGATATATCGACTGAATGAAAATGGCATTTTAGTCATCATTTCTTCTTTTAATTTTGCTCGTTTTCTTTTGTTTTTCTCCAGAAGGTAGAAACAAACTACATTTCCAGAATTACTTTTAAAATGATCTCCATTCATGAGGTTGAAACCTAGATTGAAGGAACAAATACTATTGGTCTGGGTTGAAACCTGTAAGCCGTAAGTTATGGGAGAGCCAGTTCTGGTGCAGTGAGAAGAGTGTTAGAATGGAACTCACACAATCAAGGTTCCTGCCCCATTTGGGCCATGAAGGTCACTGGACTGGAAAGTGGCACCCAGACTCACGCCTGTGGTTGAGCCTGTTTCCAGGAAACCAACCCTGAACTTGCTTTAGCCTGTTGTGCCTTTATATTTCTGTATGTGAATGCGCGGGAGTGTGTGTATGTATTTTGAGTGCGTAAATGAGAAGCTGGAAGCAAGTAGATCCTGAATCAACATGGCAAGAGCATAAGACGAGCCATGTTGGATTGAACCAAAGGTCTGTCAACCGTCTGTTGACAGTGGCCAACCAGCAGACTCTGGGAATCCCACCATTTTGGGATGGGAGTGGAGTAACTCCCTCCAACCCCTGTTCCCCAGCAACTAGAGTTCTTACTGTCTTTGATACTGGAAGAGCATATGCACATCAGGACTTGTAACCATTGATAGCCTTTCCCCTCATGAATTTGCCCAAGATAAGGGGGCAAACCTTGTCCTGCCTTGCATGTCACCAGGGGCATGGCTATGAGTCTGTGCTGTGACCCATCAGTACCCCTCACCAGTCCCCCTAAGCCTGGAAAAAGGTGTGTCATTAACATGGCCCACTATACCTTGTTCAGCTAGAATTAGGGGTTCATCTAGATGGTAGGTGGCTGCTATCATTTGCCAATAAGATCCTTACAATATCTGCATTTTCACTGGGTAAATAGCTCCAAATCATGGGTGTATGAGCACTTCTGCAGCGCACAAAGCATTCCATCAACAAGTTTTGCAGTAAGATTAAAAAGGAGTGCATACTTAGGAATGGGATGCAAAGAAAGATCTATGTTTCATCAGGGTTGCAGAACATTAGAGCATACAGATTTGGGATACTTCTGTGGATAGTGCCATTCTATATTTTAGTCCTACTCTGGCACCTGACTTAGTCCTGTTGGACTCAGCAGATTCCCATTCCCCATGTGTTCTGATTTAAAACTGATAATAAAATTCTTTTTAGCTTACTGACTGGCATGTCCTCAAAGCCAGAGGTGGGGAACCTGCAGCCCAAGGGCCAAATCTGACCCTCCTGAGGTCCCAATCTGGCCCTTGGAGGTTTCCCAAATAGCCCCACCCCTTCACTGGCCCCACTTCTTTCTGTCAACCACCAATAATTTGGTGGTTTTCCAGGGTATTTATGGAAGCACGAAATAAGTTCAACATTCTGGTGCTAAGCCTTCCATGACAGTACTTTAAGAGCAAGTGATCATGTTACATATTTCCAAGACTCTAGAGAAGCAAATGCCAGGGAGAATGTGGCTGATTGCTCACAAAATGGAATTTCACCCTGTTCATACATCATATTCTTGCGGCCAGTGCTGCCGCACTTCAGGCTTTTTAAAATGCTGTTTGACCTAAATAGTTGCTGTTCCTTTGAAAAAGAGGTGCAGCGCACAAAAATTCCTCAATAAAGTCCAAGGTTCTGCTGCAGGGAATACATTATATGAAAGTGTCCCAAATGAGAGCATTACTTTTCTCTATAAAAGTAGTGAGTGATAAAATGGGTCATGGAGCATTAGATGCCTGCCTGCGCTCCTGCTTGCAGTTTAAGTCTTCAACTTCAAGAAAAGTTTTCTATCCGGCACAGGTGTCCTAAATTCACCCTTATTAATGGATATGTTGTCCTATAATAAAACCTAAATCAAAGGTGCAATCGCATATAACAAACAACTTTCATTCCCAGTGTTCTGAGCAGCACAACCAATGCATTTTTGCAGAATTTCCTTGCTTTGTATGATCTTGATTCTCAGCATCGCTTTTTGTTTGTGCTCCTATTTTCCATGTGCTCAAGGGGGCTTGTTGTATCTCACAAGGAACCAGATACCTTCTGGGTCTGTTTAACAATTATGATCCCATTTTTGTTAATGGGATGGAACTGGTTAATAATATTTGTGGACTGATTGTTGAGTCTCTTACACGACTAGAACCCCAAGTCAGCATGTTGCAAGGCTCAGCGAGAACATACACCTGCTCTGCCAGGGAGAATGGTGGGGAACGGCATGACTCAGAGTGGAAAATATCATTTACCCTGTGCCTGTGCAAAGTCACCTTCTTCTTGATTAATGCGAAGTCATAACAAAACTGGTTCTGAGACTCAGCCTTGGGTAGAGAAAGAGAGAACTTTTGTAGCATGATTTGGGTTGTGTGGGACAGCTCTGGAACAGGCTAGGCCCCCTCCACCTTACATGCCCCATCTGATGATAAGGAAGGGCTGTCATGTTCTTATAAGGGAAGGCAGGTTTGGCCCCTGGGTAGGCATAGCTGGACATTTACTGCGGGCCCAGTAGAAGCCCACTGACAAAAGCCCCTCTTCTTCACTAGTGGAACCTTCATGATTCATTCTCTTCCAGACAATACAGCCAGAGCCTACATTTTTCTGGGGTCTACATGCATAAGATACTATGCTTTTGTTTCTTGATCTATGTGGCAGTCAGATCGGCAGAAGGCAAGGGGCCAATGGAGTTAGCCTGATCCCTCTTCCAGACTTACAAAATGTAGCTGCAGGAATGTTTGGAGGGCCCAGCTATGTGTGTGTGTGCAAGTGCTAAGTAAAAGCATTCCAAGTGGTCCATATTATGACTGCTGTCTGCTTTTTAACCCAATATTTTATACAAAGATAGTAGGAAGTAAGCAGAATTCAGCAACACAGAGAACATATAAAGCAAAACCGTTCAAAAGATACAGCAATACACTAATAGCTGGGTTGGGCCCATAGACCTTGAAGAAGAGGGAGGATTTTTATGGCTTTTTATTGCTTTCAGTAAACTTGTTTGCCTTTATACTGAAAGTTTGCTTTCAAACCACAGGTTATTTATCAGATTCTGGACTAGGCTATCGTCCGTCCATCCATCTCCATCCATCTGTTCCCTAATGATTTCCACCTTTTTAAAAAGGAACTAGCTGGCAAATGTGAAAACGTTTCAGCCCAGATTATTTTTAAAGGACATTAATTATTGAGAGGGGACAGAGCTGAAATAGTCAGTCTCTCCAGTAGCTGCTGTCTTCCCTTCTTCCCACTCGAGAGATATTTTTTCCTGGTCTGCATAAAATAGAACAAGCTGTTGTCAGGCCCCTACAGCCGCGCTTTCACGATCGAAAGCTCTGTTTAGAAAGTCGGTTCTTCTGACTTGTTTTTATCCTCACGCTGGCTGTCAGGCTTGACAAGGGAGTGAACACTTTTCTCAGCCCTCGTTTTGTTTTCTTTGCTTTCAACAGCAGCAGCTTGAATCTTGGATGTTTTGTGGCACCATCTAGTGGTCAAAACGGAAACAAAAAAGACACGTTCGCCGTAAGGAAATTTGAAATAACTTTTCTTGTTCTTAACTGGTAACAGATGACTGCTGCGAGAACTGTGTTTGCTACAGCCTCT